TAGAGATACACACAGACAGATAGTGTTACACACAGACCGATAGAGATACACACAGACAGATAGTGTTACACACAGACTGATAGAGATACACACAGACTGATAGAGATACACACAGACAGATAGAGATACACACAGACAGAAAGTGTTACACACAGACTGATGGAGATACACACAGACTGATAGAGATACACACAGACAGATAGTGTTACACACAGACTGATGGAGATACACACAGACCGATAGAGATACACACAGACAGATAGTGTTACATACAGACTAATAGAGATACACACAGACTGATAGAGATACACACAGACAGATAGTGTTACACACAGACTGATAGTGTTACACACAGACCGATAGTGTTACACACAGACTGATGGAGATACACACAGACTGATGGAGATACACACAGACTGATGGAGATACACACAGACTGATAGAGATACACACAGACAGATAGTGTTACACACAGACCGATAGTGTTACACACAGACTGATGGAGATACACACAGACTGATAGTGTTACACACAGACTGATAGTGTTACACACAGACCGATAGTGTTACACACAGACTGATGGAGATACACACAGACTGATAGTGTTACACACAGACTGATAGAGATACACACAGACAGATAGTGTTACACACAGACTGATGGAGATACACACAGACTGATAGTGTTACACACAGACTGATGGAGATACACACAGACTGATAGTGTTACACACAGACTGATAGTGTTACACACAGACCGATAGTGTTACACACAGACTGATAGAGATACACACAGACAGATAGTGTTACACACAGACTGATAGAGATACACACAGACAGATAGTGTTACACACAGACTGATGGAGATACACACAGACCGATAGAGATACACACAGACAGATAGTGTTACACACAGACTGATAGAGATACACACAGACTGATAGAGATACACACAGACTGATAGTGTTACACACAGACTGATGGAGATACACACAGACAGAAAGTGTTACACACAGACCGATGGAGATACACACAGACCGATAGAGATACACACAGACAGATAGTGTTACACACAGACTGATGGAGATACACACAGACCGATAGAGATACACACAGACAGATAGTGTTACACACAGACTGATAGAGATACACACAGACTGATAGAGATACACACAGACTGATAGAGATACACACAGACTGATAGTGTTACACACAGACTGATGGAGATACACACAGACCGATAGTGTTACACACAGACTGATGGAGATACACACAGACTGATAGAGATACACACAGACTGATAGAGATACACACAGACCGATAGTGTTACACACAGACTGATGGAGATACACACAGACAGAAAGTGTTACACACAGACCGATGGAGATACACACAGACCGATAGAGTTACACACAGACTGATAGAGATACACACAGACTGATAGAGTTACACACAGACTGATAGAGATACACACAGACTGATAGAGTTACACACAGACTGATAGAGATACACACAGACTGATAGAGATACACACAGACTGATAGAGTTACACACAGACTGATAGAGATACACACAGACTGATAGAGATACACACAGACTGATAGTGTTACACACAGACTGATGGAGATACACACAGACAGAAAGTGTTACACACAGACCGATGGAGATACACACAGACCGATAGTGTTACACACAGACTGATAGAGATACACACAGACTGATAGAGATACACACAGACCGATAGTGTTACACACAGACTGATGGAGATACACACAGACAGAAAGTGTTACACACAGACCGATAGTGTTACACACAGACTGATGGAGATACACACAGACTGATAGTGTTACACACAGACCGATAGTGTTACACACAGACTGATGGAGATACACACAGACAGAAAGTGTTACACACAGACTGATGGAGATACTCACAGACAGAAAGTGTTACACACAGACTGATGGAGATACTCACAGACCGATAGTGTTACACACAGACTGATAGAGATACACACAGACTGATAGTGTTACACACAGACTGATAGTGTTACACACAGACCGATAGTGTTACACACAGACTGATGGAGATACACACAGACAGAAAGTGTTACACACAGACTGATGGAGATACTCACAGACCGATAGAGATACACACAGACTGATAGAGATACACACAGACTGATAGAGATACACACAGACTGATGGAGATACTCACAGACTGATGGAGATACACACAGACTGATAGAGATACACACAGACTGATGGAGATACACACAGACTGATAGAGATACACACAGACTGATGGAGATACACACAGACTGATAGAGATACACACAGACTGATGGAGATACACACAGACTGATAGAGATACACACAGACTGATGGAGATACACACAGACTGATAGAGATACACACAGACTGATGGAGATACTCACAGACCGATAGTGTTACACACAGACTGATGGAGATACACACAGACTGATAGTGTTACACACAGACTGATGGAAATACACACAGACAGATAGTGTTACACACAGACTGATAGAGATACACACAGACAGATAGTGTTACACACAGACCGATAGTGTTACACACAGACTGATAGAGATACACACAGACTGATAGTGTTACACACAGACTGATGGAGATACACACAGACAGAAAGTGTTACACACAGACCGATGGAGATACACACAGACCGATAGAGTTACACACAGACTGATAGAGATACACACAGACTGATAGAGTTACACACAGACTGATAGAGATACACACAGACTGATAGAGTTACACACAGACTGATAGAGATACACACAGACTGATAGAGATACACACAGACTGATAGAGTTACACACAGACTGATAGAGATACACACAGACTGATAGAGATACACACAGACTGATAGTGTTACACACAGACTGATGGAGATACACACAGACAGAAAGTGTTACACACAGACCGATGGAGATACACACAGACCGATAGTGTTACACACAGACTGATAGAGATACACACAGACTGATAGAGATACACACAGACCGATAGTGTTACACACAGACTGATGGAGATACACACAGACAGAAAGTGTTACACACAGACCGATAGTGTTACACACAGACTGATGGAGATACACACAGACTGATAGTGTTACACACAGACCGATAGTGTTACACACAGACTGATGGAGATACACACAGACAGAAAGTGTTACACACAGACTGATGGAGATACTCACAGACAGAAAGTGTTACACACAGACTGATGGAGATACTCACAGACCGATAGTGTTACACACAGACTGATAGAGATACACACAGACTGATAGTGTTACACACAGACTGATAGTGTTACACACAGACCGATAGTGTTACACACAGACTGATGGAGATACACACAGACAGAAAGTGTTACACACAGACTGATGGAGATACTCACAGACCGATAGAGATACACACAGACTGATAGAGATACACACAGACTGATAGAGATACACACAGACTGATGGAGATACTCACAGACTGATGGAGATACACACAGACTGATAGAGATACACACAGACTGATGGAGATACACACAGACTGATAGAGATACACACAGACTGATGGAGATACACACAGACTGATAGAGATACACACAGACTGATGGAGATACACACAGACTGATAGAGATACACACAGACTGATGGAGATACACACAGACTGATAGAGATACACACAGACTGATGGAGATACTCACAGACCGATAGTGTTACACACAGACTGATGGAGATACACACAGACTGATAGTGTTACACACAGACTGATGGAAATACACACAGACAGATAGTGTTACACACAGACTGATAGAGATACACACAGACAGATAGTGTTACACACAGACCGATAGTGTTACACACAGACTGATAGAGATACACACAGACTGATAGTGTTACACACAGACTGATAGTGTTACACACAGACCGATAGTGTTACACACAGACTGATGGAGATACACACAGACAGAAAGTGTTACACACAGACTGATGGAGATACTCACAGACCGATAGAGATACACACAGACTGATAGTGTTACACACAGACTGATAGAGATACACACAGACAGAAAGTGTTACACACAGACTGATGGAGATACACACAGACTGATAGAGATACACACAGACCGATAGTGTTACACACAGACCGATAGTGTTACACACAGACTGATAGAGATACACACAGACTGATAGAGATACACACAGACCGATAGAGTTACACACAGACTGAAAGAGATTATTTACAGACTGCCATCATATAGCTGGAATATACAAATAAACAAACAAACCATCACTCACTTAATAATGCCACAAAACAGAACCCGACCAAGTCCAACCTTCTGTTGCCCCTGTACTCAGTCATCCGACAGACCCCGGAAGATTCCGGGGTAGAACAGGTCTTCAGCAACCCATACTTGCCCTAAAAGGTGACTATGCTTGTCGTAAAAGGCGACTAACGGGATCGGGTGGTCAGACTCACTGACTTGGTTGATGCATGTCATTGATCCCAAATGCGTGGATCGATGCTCATGCTGTCAATCACTGGATTGTCTGGTCCAGGCTCGATTATTTACAGATCGCCGTCGTATAGCTGGAATATTGGTGAGTGCGGCGTTAAACAACAAACAAACAGTCATCCGACATATTCACATCAAGAACAGTATCAGCAGATTTGACAATATTCAAGTACAGTTTACGATGTATAAGGGTTAACATTTACACTGAACAGTTGCCATTATCATTTACAAGAAAAATCGACTTTGGCAAAAGAAATCTTGAAATATGCTACTACTACATTCCTAGGAATTTAGTACCCTATTTAGATATTCTCCTAAAAGTGATTAAACAGTAATGACAAGGAAGTCATTGTTACATGATGTGACTGACCGAGCGTTTCACATAGATGCTTTCATTTTCCTGTTATGAATCACAGTTTCTGTTGTGACAAGATCTGGTTGACAAGTAAACCGATAGGCTTTGTTTGGACGAGGTGGGCAATCTGCAACACAGTCATTGGCCTTGTGTCTCCGAATTGAGGCTGTCAGTGTGGACTGTGAGCAGTCAACATTGGATGATCCTTGGAGAAGAAAGGATGTAATTGTTATGGACATGTTAATCTCTCTGATTGGAATATTGCTGTAGCTGTCGACTAAGTTCTTTTTAATCTGACGATATTGGCCGTTTAAGATGGTTGGGAATACGCCAAGAAGAAGGTGAAGTGTCTTTTGTTTATGAATGTTTGTTGTTATGTCTTTCTTGATGGCTACTATATTTATCTGAAAATATGAGGTGAGGTGAAATGGGGTTTAACGTCGCGTCCAAGATTATTGCACTTATATAGCGACGTGCATGTACGTGTGTGTGTTTGTGTGGCTGCTTGTACTAGTCCAGACTGATGCCGATTTATAGTGCTAGCTCACTGAGATACCATGCCGCAGGTTAACATGAATACCCCACTCAGACACAGTATACTGACTCCGAGCCGGCCAGTCCTTGTTTTAGCCCCTTAATGCCGAGCGCCAGACAGGGTAACAACAAGTACCATCTTTTAACGTCTTTTGGTATGACGCGGCCGGGGATCGAACACCGGACCTTGCGCTCTCCGGGCGGACGCTCTACCACTAGACCACTGAGGCGGTTCTGAAAATATGAAGTCGAGGGAAATAATATGTTTTAACACCTTATACTGGAACTACTTTCAGTCTGCCTTCATGAGACTATGGTTTTACATGAACGAACGTGAAGATCAGTATGAAAATACTTAACAATAGAAAATTTGTCTTTTGGTCAAACAGCAATTTTATGTCATCTTTTGACCTGTCAAAGTTGACATTTTCACTAGTGGCTGTGCCATTTATCATTGCTCCGATAACATCAACTTTGACCAAAACATCCATATGCCATACAGAAAATGCAAGTGACACACGTTTTATGCCAGCCAATCTAATTTGTTTGCCAAGAGTATGTAAACATTACATTGAAAAACGTGCATACATCCTGTTGTAGAGCTGTTAAGTGATAACATTTATTGTCACTACAACAGGAATTCAATTTAAAAATGTAATTGCTGCACACGTGGGGCCAATGTCGGCCTCTGAGTAGGTCCATATCACACTATACCCGTGAAGATCCGGGGTAGAACAGGTCTTCAGCAACCGATGCTTGCCGTAAAAGGTGACAATGCTTGTCGTAAGAGGCGACTAACGGGATCGGGTGGTCAGACTCACTGACTTGGTTGATGCATGTCATCAATTACCAATTGCGTTGATCGATGTTCATGATATCAATCACTGAATTGTCTTGTCCAGAGTTGATTATTTACAGACTGCCGTCATATAGCTGGAATATTGCCGAGTGTGGCGTAAAACAAACAAAACAAACCATATCACACTAATATTGAAGTTTGATCTGTTGATAAGAAGAAAAAGCTGGTTACTTCATTTGCTCAACAGTCCCTAGATTTGGTCCTCACCGATAATATTTCAGTAATGAACACACAACGCCATTTAGAAAGTGGTCAAATGTAACAAATGTAATAGATGGGATAACACTTTCCGAGTAAAGTACAGATTCTCGTACTTTTTTGGGTTTAGTCCCGTCCGGGAGTTAAAAGTTTAAATCAAACGTATCACACTTAATATTGGTACCAAATAACCCTATGTTTGATAGCCGAGGTACCACAGAAGTTGTAGCAGTATCACGAGGGGTACATGTGGTTTTATTTGTCCTGCATTAGATTGTATACCACGAGCCTTATCTTTATTATGACCGCCTCCGTGGTCTAGTGGTAGAGCGTCCGCCAGGAGAGTGGAAGGTCCGGGGTTCGATCCCTGGCCGCATCATACCAAAAGACATTTAAAGATGGTACTTGTTGTTACCCTGTCTGGCGCTCGGTATAAAGGGACTAAAACAATGACTGGTCGGCTCAGAGTCAGTGTACTGTGTCTGAGTGGCGTATTCATGTTAAACTGCGGCATGGTATCTCAGTGAGCTAGCACTATAAATCGGCATCAGTCCGGACTAGTACAAGCAACCAGACACACACACACGTGCATGCACGTCGCTATAAAAGTGCAATAATCTTGGACGCGACGTTTAAACCCAGTTTCACCTCACCTATCTTTATTTATTCTTCTGCTCAGGAATCCATGTACAGCCTGTCTTCTTTGTGGTGGGGTACAAGGGATTTGTTTTCAAGTCTGTCTTCTTTGTGGTGGGGTATAAGGGATTTGTTTTCAAGTTTGTCTTCTTCGTGGCGGTATCAGGGATTTATTTTTCTGCTCAGAAATTTATTACCCTCCCAGGCGGGATAGATAGTATTTTTCAAGATCCTGTGAACCAATCAGATCTCATCGTTCTGACATGGAGGTATGACAGGTGTTTTAGAAAACTGCGAAGTAACTACAACATGTACAAGTACACCTAATACCTTTTTCTTGTTTCCTGAACACGGAAGAAGAGCCTTTTTTTCTGTAACCATTGTTGTGTGACTGGCTGTTGTCTATTTTCAGTCACACTAGTGTATATGATCCCCATGTCATGAACACAAATAGAAGTATAATTCCATCCCCTTACATACGAGCATGATAAACACTTTTTTCCTGGATCACAACATAATAAGTATTATATTTCGTATGTTAAGTTTAGAATTTAGGATATAGAAAATTGCGGTGTGAACCTCCCCTTTCAACATGTTTAAAGCACACTAAACATTTGTATGAACACTTAATCAGTTTATAGATGAAAATAAACCCATAAAAACACTATAAAACATTTGGTGATATATTTTCTGCTCTATTACATGACCACTGCATTTGTAAATGTGTATATATTATACAAATCTCTGAGTGTGTCTGTTCCTATAGTGGAATTGTTCATTTGTACTATTTTCCTCGAGGGGTATTATTCATATGGATCAGGTTGATACATTTACACTAGCAATTGTTGTTCCAGATGAACTGTTTTTGTTTGTTTTGTTTGTTGCTTGATGCCGCACTCAATATTCCAGCTATATATAAGCATTGATCCACGCAGTTGGGATTTGATGACATGCATCAACCAAGTCTGTAAATAATCTAGTCTGGACCTGACAATCCAGTGATGAATATCATGAGCATCGATCCACGCAATTGGGATCGATGACATGTATCAACCAAGTAAGCGGGCCTGACCACCCTATCCCGTTAGTTGCCTCTTACCACAAGCATAGTTGCTTTTTACGGCAAGCATGGGTTGCTGGAGATATATTCTGACCCGGATCTTCACGGGTCGGAAACACCCAAGAGCAAGCATATTGCGACTCAAATCAAGGATCATTATTGAGGAAACACTTGGGGTTCTGTTGTCTTCAGAGCCTGCACCGAGAGCATGGAACAATGCTGGGTATATAAGCTATATATAAGCATTGATCCACGCAGTTGGGATTCGATGACATGCATCAACCAAGTCTGTAAACAATCTAGTCTGGACCTGACAATCCAGTGATGAATATCATGAGCATCGATCCACGCAATTTGGATCGATGACATGTATCAACCAAGTAAGCGGGCCTGAACGCCCGATCCCGTTAGTCGCCACTTAGGACAAGCATTGTCGCATCTTACGGCATGCATGGGTTCCTGAGGACCTATTCTACCCCGAATCTTCACGGGTTTCCGGATGGTTCTAATTCCATGTGGAACTGACGAATGCATCCCTTCTATATAAAGAGCTGTATCTTCACTTACATGGTTCAAAAAGGAGGTGCAAAGATGCGAAGTTAGCCCAGCATTTTCCGGACTAGCTCTATAAGTTTGTGTTCTTTCTTGTCACAGTGCCACAGTTTGCTTAACAGAGTTGCGTCCCTCTGTCACCTATGATTGTGGGTTCGAATCCCAGTTTACCCTGAATATGTTTTTGGGTTTGTCGGCACCATACCGTCTAGAGTACTTTGGCAAGTCAAGATTTCTGCAATTCTCTTGGCTCCCTTCTGTTAAATATTAAAAGATAATTAAACAAAAAAATAATCTTAAGGTATTCTAAATCTTATCAATAAATGTTAGTCTCATATTTTTTCACCATGTATTTTAGAACACCTTTGACATGTGTGTGCTTATTTTTTAGCGCCAACCGCCAGTCTGGAGCACTCTATCAAGGCATCAGCATGGCTCGGGAACTCGGCTTACCAGAGAACCATCTTAGGGCTGCTCGCGTTCAGAATATTCCCGATGAGATCAAAGCCCTGCCGTACTTCTATGCAAAATTTGGTGACAGCAAAATTGTAAGTAAATTATACAAATGTATTTTATAATATAAAGATATTATTTGAACATGCTATTTGACTTAGTGTGTATCATAAAATGCTTGAATGTTTACAGGCAACGAAGGTACACACAGAATTCAGTAAAATATCTAGTGTCACTGTGAGGACCAACAAAGTCTCTCATTTAGCAGAGACTGAATGAAGTCAGTACTTCATCATTTGGTGCATCCTTGTAAAGTGAAATAGCCTCTTTGGTTACTGGGCGGTTGGGTAGCCTAGTGGTTAAAGCGTTCGCTCGTCACGTCGAAGACTCGGGTTCAATTCCCGACATGGGTGCAATGTGTGAAGCCCATTTATGGTGTCCCCTGCCAAGATATTGCTGGAATATTGCTAAAAGCGGCGTGAAATCTCACTCACTCACTCACTCTTTGGTTACTCTCCTTAGCATGTCCAGTCAATAATTTTCAAGAAATTTGACAATGAGGAAATAAAGGCAGGTGGACATGGTAGAGTCTAGTTGAGCAACTCAAAAAAGATTTACTCTTGCCTTGAGTTCAGGAAACATTTTGATTTTGTTTACCCCTTCCCCAACTGACTGATGTTTCCCCTTTGATGATACACATGAGCATGACTATGGTGCTAACAGACCATCAAAATATGGGATTTGAACCCGTGATCATTTGATCCTTTTGTAGCTGAGGGACACAAGTTGTGGCCACCTAAACTACTGAGCCACCAGTACTTAAATGAAACAGATTACAGTAAAGGTGTTGTTCCTTGTTTCGGCTGTCATATCTGTTATTATCCCCTGTCACGAAGGAATGGGTGCTGCCCGCCCCTCGGTCCATCTGTCATGTTTCGTTTCCGTAGCAGAACTCAAAAACCATGAGAGATATCCTAACCAAACTTGGCACAAAGATAGTTCTAGTGGTGAACTTGTGCCTTGTGATAGATTGGGATTTTATTTTTTTTTATTTTTTGAGTTTTCATGGCAACAACTTTGACTGAAAATGGCGATGGTGCTCCTTTATGGAGCAGATCTTGAAAACCATACAATATTTCTTCACCACACTTGGCACATAGATAGGTCTAGCGGTAAACTAGTCCCTTTTGATAGTTTGGGATTTTTTAATAATATTTTTTTCGAGTTCACATGGTAACGATTTTGACTCAGACTGAAAATGGCAGTAGTGCTCGTTTCCGGAGGGCTAATGTCTTGCACACAACCGGACATGCCATATTGGTGGGGGATATGAGTAGTTCCTGCTTGTTTTGTACGTACCATGGAACACAATATTTTTAAATTTTCAGGCAACAAGATATGTTGAGCAACATGCCCAGGGCCCTGGCTATTACTTGCTGCGTCTTAGCTCAAAGGGAGATAACTATTTGTCTCTGTCTGTCAGGTAGGTTAATTCTTCTGATGTCTCAAATATCTATCAGAGTTTCAATAAGAAAAGTTGACTTAAGTTTGCAATGTCCTCCATTGTTGCTGCAGTGATGTGTCACCCAGTTGATGTGTCCATTTGGGTGATTACTAAGCCATATATGTGGAAATAGTGTGTAATTTGGTATGCATGCATATACCAATACGAGTTGATAAAAGTGGAAAAACTCTGAGGCTTGTTGAGGACTTTTTCCACTTTTATCAACGAGTGTTGATATTTATTATGCCTTATACATCGGTTTACCTTGGTGTATATATTTGCGAGTCCTCGGGATTCTAATTGTAAATTTTGGGGGTCCCATGAATTTAAATTGGGATCCCCTGTTCCAATAGAATATATAGTATGTATGATGCCTTATGCTTATTGGGGATTTTCTTGCTTAATCAAACTTACTGAGTGAAGGAAATTTGACATGGGCTGTTCCATCATTGATTGTTTTTCTTAAATCTTAGGGGGCATAGGTGTCCCTGTTGTCTAAGGTGCCGTAAATCACGGTGCAGAGTTGCTTCCCTCGAGTGTGACAAACCTGTGATCGTGTGTTCGACCGGTTTGGCTCGATTATGTTCCTTGGTTTGTCAGCACTATTCCTGTCTTCATGGGTTTCACCAAAGGGGTAAACCTCGGGCTTTCCTCCCACATTCAACCAGGGGTCCGGAAAATTTAGAATCCCAATCGGACATTTGCATTTAGGCCACGAATGATTCAACAGACATGCTGCGATGTAACTGGAATCCTGTTCAAAGCTGTGTTAAACCTAACTCACTCCCTCTTAAATCTTATGTAGACGTCAGTTTAATTAGTTTCAATCTTTCCAATGGGACTTGTTGTGGATATTATTTTGCATTGATTCTTAATTGAATGCATATAGGATGCAGTATTTTGTATCCAGTAGAAACCTGCTTATTTACAGTAATCCCCCGCTACAATGCAACCTTAGGGGTCCAAATAATTGATGAGCGTAATAGAAAATGGTTATATTTTTTTGCGATGTGGAAAACTTGAGTTTATTAAAATATATGTAATTTTTGGGAGCTATGCATTACTGCACGCTGTAACCAAGTTAGCATTATACTGAAGGGCACATTAGCAAGGAACACTGTTTTTTGTTTTTAAAATCATTTTTCCACTGCTGTAACCTTTGAAACTTTTTTTCATTTCAGCATAGCAAATGCTTCTGTCCGGCATGTGAATGTTGTGATCGAGAGAAGGCCATCTTTGAAGTACTACATCGTGGAACAGGTCAAGTTCAACAGCTTCCATGAACTCAGCAGCTACTACAGCAGCCACCGAATCTGTAATCTGGAACAGATTGAAAATGTCAAACTCTTACACCCAATCAACCAGGGGGCAGACTCAAAGGAAGACTATGCTTCGCCACAGTCACCTGTTAATGGAGAAGGTGGTATTCCCATTCTAGGCAGAAAGAATTCTGACATTGGCCTGCCCAAAACACCCAAATCAGGTCAGTTGACAGCTAGTTTTGACTATGAAGGAGGTGTGAGGTATGTAGGAGTTGAAGACAAATTTCCACCAATTCCTGTCGCAGGAACACGGGTACGGGGAGACAGCAGTCTTTCACGACCTCTGCCGAAGACGCCAAAGTCCAGTAGTGAGACCCGACCACCGTGCCCCACTCCGCCTGGGTTTGAGGGCAACTCGGACCTATACTACTCCCGCCCGAGGGATGTTAGCAAAAATAGGATCGATGAACTTCGACAAATTTTAAGGGACTCCGAAGTGTGTGATTGTGGTGTGCACTTAAGTGACTCAGAACTCCCTCAAGGCTGGACGTTGCATAAGAGCCACGACGCTGCATCGTATGGATGCCTCTTCTACCAAAGTAACCAAGGAGACACAACATGGAACCTGCCTCTACATATTGTGCCGGAAATCACTCCCAGGATGAAGAAAATTATCATTGATTTGAGTCACCAGAGCGGGAAGGCGCCCCCGCCGGTGTTGTTTCCGCCGTATCAAGATCCAGCGAGGGGGAGAACAGATGCCGGACAGTGGAATGGGATGAACTCTATGAATAGTTCGGGGAGGGGAGCAAGGAAGTGGAGTGATGAAGGTTAGACTCTGATGACTTTTTCGTGCATCTTTCTTTTATGAAGTCCATTCATGACGTGGATGTTGTTAATCTTGAGTGAGTGGTCTTCCATGGTGTTTATTGTCGGCTGAGAAGATACAGAGGGAACAATGTTTGTGCCCAGTGTTGACTATACGGCATCAAAGCAGACTTGAAAACTGTCAGCGGATTGATTTACAAGGGGACTATACTCGACGTTCTGGTGCCAATTTCCAGTACAGATCTGGACCTGTAAAGCTGAGACAATGTCTGTGTAATAAGGGTAATCATTTACTGGTATTTTGGGCACACACCATAAACATCGAGTTGTCAGACTTGAATCAAATAGCCAGGACTTCCAATTGGACAGAGCCAAATTCCTCCTCAAGAGCAACATTTGGGGCGATGGGGGTAGCCTGATGGTTTAGGTGCTTGCTCGTCACCCCGAAGACCAAGTTTTATTCCCCTTGTGGGTACAGTGTGTAAAGATCATTACTGGTGTCCCCTGCCGTGATATTGCTGGGATATTGCTAAAAGTGGTGTAAAACCATACTCACTCACTCACAAAGAGCAGCATGTCCTTGGTGAGTCAACAAAACTGTCAGCTTCAGAGGCTTCAATAAAAGTACTAATATTCTGATTGAATGAGTTTCACAGAAAACTAAGGACGGTACAAGATGATCGACATCGGCCCAGATGAGACAGAAGTGGAGCTAAAAATGAGACTTCAGACTGTTGTATGATTGGATGATTGTTTCTGCAATCGATAGTATTTGTTATGTTTTTTGTACATTGAACTGAGATAGAAATCATGAACCAAAGAGAATTTTTTGAAGGGATTTCTTCAGGAATGTACAGAGCTTAAGCCATGCTTGTGGTGAAAACTTAACACTGCTCAACGCCTTTTCCTTATTAACCTCATACAAAGATGATGCGTTTTACCATGGTATTCATCATGTTAGCATCAATAGCGACTGATCATTTAACATGGTATGTATGCTGGAGGATAGGGGCCTGAATGTATTATATTCTGGGGTGGGGGGGCCTGAATGTATTATATTCTGGGAGATAGAGGCCTGAATGTTGTATATTCTGGGGGGGTGGGGGCCTGAATATTTCATATTCTCTAGGTGGGGGTCTGAATGTTTTATATTATGGGGGGATGATTATCCTGAATGTTTTATATTCTGGGGTGGGGGGGCCTGAATGTTTTATATTCTGGGGTGTGGGGGTCCTGAATGTTGTATATTCTGAGGGTGGGGATCCTGAATGTTGTGTATTCTGGGGGGTGGGGATCCTGAATGATGTATATTTTGGGAGTTTAGGGCCTGAATGTTTTATTTTCTAGGAGGATAGAGGCCTGAATATTGTATATTTGGGGGTTTTGAGGCCTGAATGTTTTATTTTTGGGGGTGGGGATCCTGAATGATGTATATTTTGGGAGTTTGGGGCCTGAATGTTTTATATTCTGGGAGGATAGAGGCCTGAATGTTGTATATTTTGGGGTTTTGAGGCCTAAATGTTTTATATTTGGGGGTTGGGGCCTGAATGTTATAAATATGAGGAAGTAGTGACCTGAGGACTGCCAGGCCATTTCAGGAAGAGTTATCTCCCTTGACCATTTTCTTTTCTAGTTTCTCAACCATGAGATGGTATTGTTTCCTTATAGATATGTTATTTGTTTGTTTGTTGTTTAACGCTGTACTGAAATTTTCGAAGAAAGAGCATGCTCGGTTGTCCCTTGAAAGTTATGATTTGTTTGTTTGTTGCTTAACACGGGACTCACCAATATTCCAGCTAATTGAAGGCGGTCTGTAAATAATTGAGTCTGGACCAGACAATCCAGTGATTGACATCATGAGCATCGATCCATGCAGTTGGGATACGATGAGATGCATCAACCAAGTCAGCGAGTCTGACAACCTGATACTGTTAGTCGCCTCTTACGACAAGCAGAACAGCCTTTTAGTTTTACGGCAAGCATGGGCTGCTGAAGACCTATTCTACCCTGGATCTTCATGGGTTGAAAAGATATATTAACCAAGATGGCATGGTTTGCCTGGTTCAGAGTTGGTTTTTTACAGGTGACTGTCTTACAGCTGGATCATTAATTAGTGTAGCCTTAAACAGCAAACAAATCTTGTACTGGTGTCATTTTGATAGGTTAAGTGATGGAGTCTCATGTTTCAAAGAGAAATATATGGTATACCGTATTCGACGTAATAGGCGCCCAGGTCGCTCTCAAAATTATAAATAGGGGTGCTCTTATTGGAATATTATTTTTGTGAAAAAAACAGAGTTGAAAGTTCGTAAATTTCGTGGTTTATGCTGACAACCTGAAATGTTTATATACGACATATATATTTTTCCAGGATTTAATTGCCCATAATTAAGGGTGCATATAACTCACGAGTGCATATTATACACGAATATATAAGTCTTGTGTACATTGATCGGAAGGGGTGCTAATTGAGATTGTTCACTAGCCAATATATTAGCAAATATCGCCGTGGGCGCTTATTAGAGCGGGGCGCTTATTACGTCGAATACAGTATATTCAGTGTTCAGGGATACAGAGCATAGTCTGATGAGGTGTAGAACTGACTGTATGTATATGCAGTACCTGTGCTCCAGTGCCTTAAATGAACTAAACAGATAGTGTTATTTGCATTATATATTTCAGATTTTATCATGAAATTGTGACTTGCAGAACATGCAGCAAATGAAGCAATTCCATTTTGGGGATAACTTTTTGAAACAATTTGTATTTTCTTGGTTTGTTTTAAATATATATATGTGTCTAAAGTAGGTCAAATCAGCATCCATATCAAAGGTTGGGTAGTGTGTTTTGTACAATAAAGTTTTGTTGTTTTTTGCATATATAGCTGTATATTAAATGTTGGAATTGCAAAGTTTATATAGTGTTGTTTCTTATAATGTAAGCTGTAAATTGAAGCTTTCACATATTTGACATTATTTTCTAAAGTACAGTAAACAGAATTGAATTTGTGTAAATAGAGATTTTTATCAAAATATATTTTATTTGTGATTATGCAGATTAACTTAAAATAATCAAAGATTGATTGGAAAGTCTATATGACCAAGCTGTTGAAAGCAATTTGCCATAATCAAACCCGAATGATTTTGCCCCTCTCTCAACCCTGAGATAGTTTTGTTTCCTGAGGTTTATTTACTACTTTTTACATATTACTGAACTTAACATTTAAAACAAAATGTTGCTTGACCGATCAATGGTTGATTGTTTCCAAGAATGATCCAATCATCAATCATGATTTTACAACCAATTTCATACAATATATGCTATATATACTTTATGCAGGTTATGACAATGATAAATGACTGTGATATCACTAAGGTACAGCAAAAGCTCACATTCCAACTTTTGATACCATATTTATTTATAACAGCTTTTATTCAATAGTAGGTAAGTCTTTATACTGTTATCTACACCCAGGGTTTATGATGTTTCATGTGCAGTGTTATACCATGTAAACATGTGGAATAATGTGTATGTGTACCAGAAGCAGCCCAAGTAAATATTCTGAACAGTTTCCTATTCATATTTTGATTTGATTATACTGTCACTTTAGATTGAGAGAGAGGTTTTTAAAGATCAATTTGGCACAGTAATTTTTTTTAACTAATGGGTCCAACATTTCAAAGGCAACATTTGTGTCAGCAGAATGGCGTGCAGAATAAGTGTATGTAGGGGAAAACCAAATTCTACATCATGCATGTCTTGACTTTCGTCACATTTTGTGCTGACATTCCTAAATGCAGGGGGGCACGGGTGGCCCAGTCGTCTAAGATGCCGCAAGATGGCAAGATGGCAAGCCAGAAACCTATGATTGTGGGTTTGAATCTTGGTTCGCCCTGATTATGTTTCTAGGTTTGTCAGCGAAGTGGTAAATGTCTAAGACCTGCATCACTTCGAGCTTTCCTCCCATATTAAGCTGACACGCCGCGATATAAATGGAATACTGTTAAAAGCGGCGTTAAACCCAACTCACCCACCTAAATGTAGGATATTCTCTAGGAACAAGTTATGTTTTTAGAAAGTGTTTCTCAAAATATCCAATTTGTTTTGTTTTTGTTATTTGCGTTACTTGTTTCCTCAACAATGAAATAATTGTGTGCTTAGCATGAGGATATTGGGTGCTTTTTCAGTTAAAAAACTTCCCTCAAAATGTTCAGATTTACTTATTTGAGTTTGAGTAAACACAAGGGAAGTTTCATTAGTTGATATTTTCCATAATTTGAATGTCCTTGTATTATAAATGAAATTTGGAAGTTTATGTGTCAAAGGTCCTTTACAACTGGAATAAATATTTCCTGTTTCGTCAAGGTCAGCCTGGTGAAGTAATGATTCCTGGGGAATCCTCGTGCTCGGAAATAATCTTTGATTGTTACACTAATCATGTGTTAAATGATGCAATGTGTATTCATAGGAGTTTCAGTTGTTATTACAAAGAGTTTGAGAAACTCCTTCAGATTTTGTTGTCTCAGCAGATTCATGGGTTGTGATAAGGCCACATATGCAACTTGTTTGATCAATTAAATTTAAAAGTTATTTTTTTGTTTAACTGTTGTAGTTGTATTTTTTAAATATTTTTCTAATCAATCAAGATAGAGCAGTTGGCCAAAAAAATTAAAAAATTTCATCATATTTAATGTAATTTCTGAATGTGGATTTTGGCTTGAACAGTTTGATTTCGTAAACTGAAAAGTAACAGTGTCTCCCAACAATGCATAGGAACGGAAAAGGAATTAATTATTCCTCAATGGGGTAAATTCCCCTGTGGGGATTCTGGGTCAGATTAGGTCCCCCCCCCCCCCCCCCCCCCCCCCTGCTTGTAATGGACTGACCGTTTGATATTCTGAAGTGGGGTGGGTGGGGGTGTTTATGTGGAGGCTGGAATTTAGTATGGAGACAAGATATTTTTTCAGCAACAGCTGCAAAACCAGATATTTTTTTAATTAAAAATATGAGTCTAGATATTTAAAAAAACAAACAAACCACCTTCCAACGATGTATTTGGATGGTTTCATGGCGGATTGTTTCTCATGGATCAGTTGTATAGACCATGGCTAATGCTTTCAGTCTTTGGCATCAGGACCAAAGCTTGACTGTTTACCAGGTCTACAGGCTGTTGTAATTTCACTGTAATAAGTTGTAAAAACTGATGTTTGTGTACAGACCTTGTTTTGTTCTGTTATGTTAAACATGTGTGGGTAAAGTGACATATCAGAATCATTGTTTATGAATCTACATGTAGAAATGCTCAGTTTATTGTTCTACTTTGTGTAATCTGAGAGAGATTACTTCTGATTCATTCCCTTGACATGGCTGCTGATTGGAAATAGAATCAATGGGTTCACTGTGAATGACAGTTGTGTTTGTCTGTGTATCTGTGTATGCGAGAGTATTGTTAGGAATGGTCGCTGTTACACTTGCATGAGAACCAACCTAAGGTGGGGAAGATAACTCTAATTGTTATTAAATTGCTTCAAATTCTGTCTTAAACTGTCTATGAATCATGAATTCTACCATGACTTTGGAACAATTCTTGATTCTAAGTGGTCAATCAGGTTTCAGATAACAGTAAAAATTTGCATCGCTGCAGAAGCTGACATTTATAGGAAAAAATATTTTTTTTTATGAGTAATTAGATATCAGAGTGCTGGAAACTTAGATATGTCGGACTGTGTACACATTTCTTGTGAGACAATGCCTAGACTTAATGTCTTAAGAACTTTCTGACGTCATAATTGTCACGTGCACAGTAGGGCCCAGGGCCCTAATCCACAAAGTGATTGTTGCACCACGACTGTCGTAAGTGTGTCAAAATATGGGAGTAAAGTACGATCACCTTGGTGCTACAGTCAGGCTTGATATGTATTGATTCTTCTTCGGAGGTAGTCATGGTGCACACGTCAATCCCTGTGCATGTGAATAGAGTGCATGCTTGAAAAAAATGTGTCTGTGTGAGAATTTAGAAGTGATCACCGTTTGAAATTTTCCCTGCTTCATATTCTGTCTAGGGGCGGTCAGGTAGCCTAGTAGTTAAGGCGTTCGCTCATCATGCTGAAGACCCGGTTCGATCCCGACATGGGTACAGTGTGTGTGCCCTGTCATGATATTGCGGGATTATATTGC